GGATAATATTGATAAGTTCAAACTGTCATGTGTGCAAATGTAAACATATATAGAGCAATATTTTCTTTTGAATAAAGGTTGTTAACACCTGGGTAATCTAACAGTGAGTTTAGATTGTGTTATCCGAAGTATTGTGTTTTTGTATGATTTGTTGTTAGTTTTTCTTTGTAGTAAACTTTTTGCGTGTTTTATTTGTTTTACCTTTGTGTTTGTTATTATTTGTTTGATAGACTTCTTTCTTAAGAAACTCTTACATTGTTTACCATCATTATTAATTTTCTACTGAGAATTATTAGTGATACTCTTATATTTGATCACAATATTATCAAAACACTTATCATTTTATTACTTGGCCTTTTTGTCACGACTGTTCACTTTAACATCTCTGACGTTAGTTATCACTCCAGACCAAATCGGTGATAACACTAGCAATAGGAAATTGTTGATCAGGATATAATTGAATGTTAGTGTATTCCGATAGCACATATAAAAACAAAGGATACGCGTTGAAAAATTTGTTTGCCACATGGAACTTGTTTATTGAATGAAAATCTGTTAAATAACTACTCGTCCGGAATGTGTTGAGGATGGCAAATTAGTACTGTACAACTGTTGTCGATGTCAGCTATCACACAATGTTGTATGAATCTTTGATTTATGTGAATTTATCACGTATACTAGTTTTTTGCTCAGATAATGATAAATTTTAAAGATGAAATCTTGAGAGCAGAAGGGTATTATAACATTTGACAAGAAATAAATGTTCGTAAAAAAGTAGTGACATCATGATAAAAATAAAAAGTAATATACAATTATCTAAGAATCTATCGCATTTAAATCACAATCTTTTTCGCAATTTGACAAGTTGGAATCTTCAATCTCTATTTTTTCGCTTGTTTCTCTTTTTTTGTGATAAAAAATGGTAGATACATTGTCGAAATCAATGATATTGAGTCCTGAAATTACTTTGCGAATTTCTGGCCGATTATCTGTTTGGTGCTCAGCGCTTACTTTTAGTAAGCTCGTGGGCACCAGCTTTTGCTGCAGTCCCGCGATAGGACTGGTTGGCAGCTGTGCGTGTTATATCTCAATTATCTTTTAGTATGATATTAATTTATTTTTTAAAAAAAAAAAAAAAAATATGAAAACTTTATCTGTTTGATATTTTATGAACGAAAACCACATTTATTTTTCACACGTTTCAAGAATTACTAAGAATGGGTATTAACATAAATTTTAATAATGAAGCAATTCTACAATGTATATATTATATATTATTGTTAGATCCTGACAGTGCACACATGAGGTTCGATAGAACTGACGGGTGGTTTATAGTTAACAATTTGTTTAATATTTTTTTCTTTATTATTAACTAAAAATAATTGTATTAATTATGATGAAATATTCTATCCTTTATTTTTTAACTACAAATACATTAGATTATTGAAAATTACAAAAAAAAAAACAATTCTTATTGGTTCTCTAGTTAATCGGTTATGTAATCGATAATTGACCTGTTAAGGTTTTAAGACTAATATAATTTTTGATAATTTAAAATTAAAGAATGATATATAAAATGATAATTAAGAATTTGACGAATGCTTGGTGTAATTTTACAAAATTTCAGTAATTAGACTAGTCAAATAAATGTTTATTCAAGAATCACAATTAAATATAAAAAATCATTTTGTATTACTCGAATGAATAAAGTCAATTTTAGATGTACCGCACCTTTTCTTTCAGTGTCGTACACCACAAAAAATTAGTCATTATCGTTATTTGTTTCATCGTCAAAATTTTTTATGACGTCCACATACATATATCACATTTAATTTACTATAATAGCAAAGGTCGTGACATTCATTGGATGAAAAAATAAATACGGTATTGTGTTTCAATTGATATGCGTCTTTGGGATTCGTAGTTTTGAACTGAATTCCATTTTTATTTACTTGTAGTCTTGTACTACGGCGTATTAATTTATATTATTGTGTTACACTTTCTATATACATTATTTTTTAATAAATTTATATAAAAGGAAACATTTATTTTCGTTGGTCAATTCATCACAATGTATAAAGCAATCATCCTGTTTCATTTTATTAATTTGGACATCTTTCTTATTGATGATAATTAATTTGGGCAAGACATTGCTGATCGAGATTAATTATTTCACAAAATTAATCCATACGTTTTTCGCAGAACGAATGAATTTATAAGTTTCTATATTGCTTGTGGAATTTTATTTTTGTCTCATCTTGACCAAATTATTTTTAGACGCTTAAATTAATTGACTACATCGCCATGTAAAATCTCTATATAAACCGTTGAAATTCCCTTTAATTTCGATAATACATTTGTATTAATTTAGGAAAGTTTACAATTTGACTTTTTAAATAATTTTTAAAACAATTTTTTAATAATGAAAAGAAAATCTCTTAAACTTTCTTCGATCATTTTTTTTTGCCTGTTAGGATTGCTAGTATTGACTGTTATTGTTGATGCTCATAATAACCACCATAATAAACACCATTATCATGATAAACATCATCATTGTAAACATAATAAATGTAAAACTATAACTACCACTACGACAAAAACTTCCACTGTAACCTCTTCAACTTGCAAACCCACTCCCACCCTTAAAAATTCTAAACTTAATTGTCCTGATCATCGAAAGTACGATGAAAAAAGCTGCGGTCATGGCCATAATCGTCATTGTACAAAAACTGTCACTTGTACGCGTACGAAAACCACGTGTGTTACTCCACCACCCACTTGTGTTCCTGCTGGTGGGGAATGCAAACTTGTAGATCCAGGTGCTTGCTGTAATCTAACTTGTGAAAGCGTTGCCGGAGATGTCGGAAAATGCTTATAACTTCAGCAACGGTGGTACGTGTCCTTAATGGGTTTTATGGGTATAGATTATTAACAAAAAGATACTTGAATTTTTTGTGTATTGATCATATATATGATATTCTACTTTTATTTGTAATATTAGCTTATAACTTTATAGAATAAATAATTGTATTATTCCTTTCAAATTAATAAAATTAATAAAATAAAGTTCAAATTAATTTAAATTATATTTGCTAGAATATGATAATGCTTTGGATTATAATTAATTGTTTATTTAGTATGAATTGTATAAATATATCTTGGGTAAAGTATAAATTTTGCAAGGACAAGCCAATTGATCGATGATCAGTGGAAAGGAACTGCCATCTTATGGCCTAGGCGCCTGCAAAATATGAAATATCATATTACGTGATATTTCATATTTTAATTCCCTTTAAATGTCCGCTACTCATTCATTGCTCTTTTATATAAACATCAATAAAGAATTTAATTTTTTTGCTATATCAAACAAATCATGAAATTAATATTATGTTGAAAAGTAATAAAATGGGTAAAAAAAGCAAAGGTCTTGAGAAAAATTAAGATAAAATATGAATTTAAGAGTATTAAAAAACATTATTGTTCGGATTCTTGTTTTGCACCAACTTCATTGTAAAGATTATTTAAAATATATTTCAGTTCAGTTGTGATTATTTAAATTTAAAATACATTTCAGAGTCCAAATAATACATTTCACTCAACTCCGGTGAGTGATATCTCATGTCTTGAATAATGTTGATCGTTTCTTGTTTGTCGTATTGAGTGATTCTCACATCGTCTTTTTCGTATAGCGCTTTAGCGGCTTTTAGGCGACGAATTTTTTTCTAATCGCAAAATAACATGGGTAATACCATAAGTCCATAACTACTTATATATATACCTTAGAATATTGAAGGTGGCATTACGAGAAAAAAAAAAATATTTCTTATTTTTTTTGAAAGAAAAATAATCATTTACCAAATTCTCTGATCAGCTGATACTCAGTTGATAGTCGACTACCTGTACACTAATTCTAATTTTACAAATCTCGCTCTGACCTAATATATAAGCCTTTCTAAAAAATAGTTTCATAAACATGTACTGCACGTAGTGCAGAAGTATCATTTTTGATTCAGTTTGATCACATGATTTTTACATCCACGTTTTCCATTTTTGCTATTTATCCTGGGGACTTGGAAATATCATCCTATGTCTGCTAATACAGGAATCTTCAACCAAGTATTTTTACCAATTTCGCGTGCAGTATCTAAGCAATTAGATAAATTGCGGTGTTCCTTGATGTTTATAATGTTATCTATAAGCCAAATATCAGAAGCATGTGCTTAAATTTGAATCATGTAGAAATCTATATGTGCTTCATATCGCTTATAAATTTGAAATATAATTATGAAAATACTTCAATTCATAATATTTTTAATAATATTACTAGGTGGTTGATTTGTTGACTGGTATTAAATAATAAAAATTGTTGAATTCTTTTTAAATTCAGTTTGAATTTATATAGAGTTCTGTTTCTTACAAAAGGATTAGTTACTGAAAGTTGTCTTAAATAATAATCCAAAAACAGTTTCTATTAATAGTTATCTTATAAGCCAATGACAATTTGCTATGACTGCCATTTTTTTTCTTTTATTTGAAAGAAAATAAAGGGAAAAAATGATAACAGATCAAGATAGGAATATTGATGGATTAGTTCTTTTATTTAAATATATGTCTACTTGTTTTTCAAAAAAGGCTTAGTTTGGCTTGGTTTAGTTAACAACTGTTTTATTATCCGGTATTTTATAATTGATGATGGTCAAAAATATCATGTGTATCATGGTTAGTTGGTTGCATCGCGAATAACTAACGCTAGCTTGTTATATTGGGAATTAAATTTGACTCCTGCGGAGCCGGATCAACCAATCAAATTAATAATATTATAATCATGTGATTTATTAAGTGTAAATAAGATTTTGATCCTAGGCTTATGCCTTACTATTGGGCTTGGAAAAACATGTGTAAATTGTAACACTAGACCCATAAAAAAATTTTTTTTCTTTTTATTTAGATCTAAACGTTATTATATCTACGTTGTAATTTTGTTAAACAGTAATTTTCACATCAAATGATCATCAAATGAGTCAGTAGTACGATATGACAAACTAAATACAATAAAGAAAAAATATTGGGACAAAAGTACTGTACATTACGCAAATAAGATACAGTATTTTCAGTCGTTTCTGTGCTTTTGCAATGAAATAACTGCACTTGCCATTTTTGTTCGTACAGATTCTGAGAACTTTACTATCATGATTAATTGTTAACTTATTCAATGTCTCATAAAGGTATATCAGAATATCGATTATTGGAATAATAAACGAAACCGGATGAAAAGTTAATGTTAAGTGTGTTAATATAGATAGTTTAGATAAATGAAAAATTGATGTGGCTCATCATGATTTTTAACGCGTATGCTGTATACAGTATGATGCGTATTTATTATTCGATTTCTTTGTGTAATTCCGGATGAATAGGATTATAGTAGAAAAAAAAATCGAGTTTACTATTAAAACTAGCGAACTATTTATGACCTTTATCACACATCCATTGCATCGGAACACAGAGATTGATGTATTCTGTAGAAAGGCATTCACTACCACGTTCTCGTGCAATACTAATTGCTATGTCAACATTAAAATATCGGCACTGTTGACACCAAGTTCCTTTAATAATATATTACTAAAGCCTTCCATTTATGCCCTTTTACGCATTGTCATTCAAGAGGATCCTGCCTGTTAATATATTCAGCTACAAGGCAAAAACCTCCTTTTTTCCCACAAGTATTTGCATATCCATAATGGTTCGAGTTCGGGTAAGGCGATTTGCAGGGCATTGTGGACACCATGATTTTATTCTAATTATACATTCTCATTCTTTTATTGAAATTCTCAAGTTAGAAAATAGCTATATCGAAACTTGTAAAAATATTATCATAATCCGCAAGGATTTGAGGCAAGTATTTCCATCGTATGGTTTTATTATGATGCCAAATAGACGGTCCCACAAATGGGAGGAGTATGGGAGAGCAGACCATCAATCGTATAGATTTTGAACTACGAAAAAAAATCTCGTTAAGTCCAAACTTAATTTAAAAATTAATTTTCGGATAACATTTAATTTTAAGTAAAATGTATGAATAAAGAGACTCAATATAATAGTATAAAAATTTAGAACAAAACCGAAAACCGAAATCCGCATAATTTTTATAATATTTTTAGATAATAGTAATACTGTATAACGTCATAACCCAATTATTCTATATATGTATTTTTCTATTACGAAGTCACTGATCGATTTGGACGTCAAATTTATGACCGAGGGAGCGAGGTCTGACCGCAACTTTGAAATCCTTTAATCTAAATGGTTTGTGGTGAAAAATTCAACTGCATTACTAACAGCGTATTAAAAGTCATGAGAAAACGAATCAATGATCAAAAATACAGAATTTAAAAGTATTCCACCATTTAAAGATGATTATTTCCGGGAAAAAAAACAATAGTAATGGTAAAAATTAACCATGTACCAATAACACCATACAAAATACTCAGAACCGGATTATTTTAGGTTTTAATGGATATATCAAACTTTAAAATATTTCTGATTAACATACTTGAGATAATGCGAGCAATAAATGCATTTTACGAATGTTTTAGATTCTTTTATTCACGAGAGTATTTATATCGAGAATATGTGTTACAAACTATATTTTAGGATGATGATTTTCAAAATAATAATAAAATAATGACAAACAATTGCGATTTAAAGTAAAAACACCTTTATTAGAAATATAATTTTATAAACCTTAATTGCTTTTTATTTCTTATTGCCTTATCTTAATTATAAAAAACTTATTTTACATAAAAAAAATTAAAAATATAATCCTACCCCAGACAATAAAAACAATTATGGTTTAATATTTTTAAAGATTTTTCAATTTAAAATTTTCGAGATTTCCATTTTAGGATCTCTTTTAATTTCGGAACCATTGTTATATTGAGGGGAATAGGATACATCGTGATTAATTCCGGAAGGATTTCTTCCCTTTTGCCTTTTTTTCGAGTGCCAAAAATTCTTTACTTTATTTTCGGAGCGTAATTTTCCAAATTTATCTTTCATCTCCTGAATTAATTTTTTCCAAGGGATTTTATCAGCAGATGGATTCTGAATTTTATATTTTTTAACCCATTCGATCATGTATAATTTCTCAATCTCATCAAAAGGATCGTGACAAACTAGAAAAAAAAAATTTTAAATCAAATTATAATAAAAAAATTTAAGAGATAAAATGTACTTACGACGTGGATAGAGATTATTTGTCCAACTAAAAATTATAAATAAATAATAATAAATTTTAAATTTTTTAAAGAGAAAATTTTTTTTAAAATTAATTATGATAAAATGAAATAATAATACCGTTGACGAATCCTTTTTGGGCTAATTCGTTTATTCATTTTTTCACTAACTAAAGTATTGCAATTAGGAAGATGTCCAAATACTTTCATATATTTTTTAATCTCATCATCATCCTAAAATTTTTTTTAAAAAAAGAAATAATAATTCAATAAATTTTTTTTATTTTTTTTTAAAAAAAAAAATTTGGGACATACTTCTTGATTAAAACGAATTCTTGATTGATTAGCCATTTTTTTTTTAGTGGACTTTTTTTGTTGTGATGATGATAATGATTGAAGAGTAGGAAAGCACTGACTTTATACAATTTTTTAGATAGCAAAATTATTGAGGATTATCTTTAACTTTTTAGTCTAAAGGTCTGTCGTCAATAGTCATTGAAGGGTCATATGAAATGATTGAGAATATTCATTTTCGCTTATTCGTGTCAATACAGTACTTGGGGAACAAGGGAATCGGATCGGATTCTATTATGCATTATGTCAATTATAATTATAAATTATGTCAAATTATAAATTGTCAATGTTAATCTGTGATACGTGTCACCAAAAATCGTCAAACTTTAATTATTACTTCTCAGTAATCAAAAATCCAAATATGGAGCAATAATGAACTAAATGAACAATGCATTTCTTATCTGATAAGATAAAATAATCTCTTGTCTTTTTTTGGACTGCAATAAGGACAGTCCNTTTAATAATTACGTACCCTTACTACCAGTACAATTGCAATGACTTCTGCACTTATAATAATTGAAAATATAATGAGCTATGGTATTATAGCATCTTTCTGAATAACATTATTCGCCATCTGAAATAATAAAAATTATAACATTGAGATTTCAGGAAAGTGAAATTTCCATAATTACGTACCTTAACCGGAACAATTGCAATGAGATTTGCACTTATAACATTTAGAACTACAATGAGCTATAGTATTATAACATCCATTTGAATAACAATAGTTGCCACCTAATTAATAGAGAAACGAATGAGCATAACAGCTAGCGATTTATATCTCAGTATCAGAACTTATTCATATTTAAAATATTGTTAAAAGATAAATAAAAAAATTCCACGTCCTAACTCTTTCTTTTTTTTATTTAATATATTCATTCAGTGAGTATAAAGGAACAAGATGATGAGTCACGCACATTAATTTAAAGCGATATTCAAATGAATTAATTTATTTAGAACAGAGATTAGATTATCTAAAAAGTTTAGATTATAGTACATCGAGGTCATAATAGAAACTGGCAATATAAACTACAAGTCATTTCCATAATTTTTATAAATCAGTTTTTGTAAAGGTTGTTTATTAAATCTAACACGGTCAAACATTCCTTATGAGCCTTCTCATTTGTGAAGCCTGAATATTCATAACATTTTACATTTTCTTACTAACCAATTATAATTGTAGAATCATTATTAAATGTTTATATATAATTGCATTTAAATTTCCTGAAAAGATTTTTTCATTTGATACAGTACATGGAATCAGAAGTTTCCGATAGAAGTTTTATAAACAAAAAAAGAAAATGATTTGGATCGACAATAAAAGCCTAACCATGATAAGCGTATTAGGTAAGATAATGATTGCAGAATAATACAACATACCTGAAATAACTTGTATGCAATCAGGTCATCGACACCAAACTACAACATCCACATATCAGCAATATCTCCCTCCGACCCCGCCACATAGCATAGTCGTCTTCAAATCCTAACGTCAAAAACAATTAAATAGTTTTAACATCCTTATCACTTCATACCTAACAGTATTTACGTATATACCATTAGTGAAAGAAAAATACGGGTCATTTCAATTTTGACTTGATTGATAATTACGATATATTAAATATGTAATAAATTCTTATTTATATAAAGTAAATATTAACTTTATTAAAATTTATCCAAAAAATTGAAATCTTTATAAGTAACATTTATATCTTCATTTTGATGAAACGTTATTTTAATTTCGGAAGGACCTTGGCTGGTATTCTGATGTAGTTGTCTTCTCTGTCGTCTTTCTTGTGAATGCCAAAAATTCTTTACTTTATTTTCGGTTCGTAATTTGCCAAATTTATCTTTCATCTCCAGAATTAATTTTTTCCAAGGGATTTTATCAGCAGATGGATTTTGAATTTTATATTTTTTAACCCATTCGATCATGTATAATTTCTCAATCTCATCAAAAGGATCGCGACACACTAGAAAAATCATTTTTAAATCAAATTATAATAAATTAAGAAAAATTTTAAAAGATAAAATGTACTTACGACGTGGATCGAGATTATTTGTCCAACTAAAATTATAAATAAATAATAATAAATTTTTTTAAAGAAAAAAAAATTTTTTAAAATTAATTATGATAAAAATGAAATAATAATACCGTTGACGAATCCTTTTTGGGGTAATTCGTTTATTCATTTTTTCACTAACTAAAGTATTGCAATTGGGAAGATGTCCAAATACTTTCATATATTTTTTAATCTCATCATCATCCTACAAGAAAATTTTTTTTTAAAAAAAGAAAGAAATAATAATTTAAGAAATTTTTTTTCATTTTTTTTTTTAAAAAAAAAAAAAAATTTCTCTTATTTAACAAATGTAAAAAAAAATATTTTTTTTTTATTTTATAAAAAGATTCTTCTTATACAATTTTCGTATAACTTATATACAATAATTAATAATTATTAAAATATTCTTTTAACATTTACATTATTTTACACTATCAAAATGTTTAAATATAATGTTTATAATAAATCCAAGTAAACTACAAGTTCATGAACTCATTAATTTCGGAATTATCATTGTTTCTCATTAAAGAGATTGAAAACAATGATGAGACATTATAAATGAACAACAATGGAAAATTTCTGAAGATCGTTCTTCAATTCAAATGGTACGCCCAACTCTAATTCCCGAGTGTGTATCACATTGCGTGCAGTGTCATCTACTTCGATGACGCAAAAGCAACAATTGTATTATATAAAATATTTTGTTGTATTGTAAATGAAATCATGCGTACATCAGGTGGTAATATCAATTATTTGCGTCTTTGCGTAATATCAAATTATTTCATTTATTTGCGCCTTTGAATTGCCCAATATCTTTATTCTGTTGATTCGGAAAAATCCGAATTTTTATTTAAATTAGATTATTTGCTAAAATAATTTATACACGTGAGCGTTAAATATGAAATACCTCAAATAATTTTGTGTTTCATGTCATCAAATGTAGTTGGAGAGTATTCCTCCCCAAGAAATGTCGTCCTTTTCTTAGCACTCAATTGTTAGGATACAACAAAATTATTTGAGGGTTAGGGTATAAAGTAGCGTAATTATTGAAGAAAAAAATATATATTTTTTTTCTTTCGTTAAAACTTGATGTGAGGTCGAAAGAGTTTGAAAAACTCTTGTATTTATATTAAATTGATGAATCTATATTTAAAAAGTTCGAAAGGTAAATGAATGTTTGTCAAACTGCCTTTAACGGCATACATGTTGCTTAAAAGTTATTCAAAATTTCTAAATCTATTAAAAGTTCTTTGAATTTCATTTTTAATGATGATATACATCATGCAGTAAAAAAAAGCTTTCAATTTTTTCCATAAAAATAACACATGAAAGATTTTGGTACATCCGGCAAAAAATTTTTCCGTATGTCTTTGTATGTCTTACAGCATATATCATAAAGGGAATTTTTCCAGAATTCCAGATGGAAAGTTTAATTACGCTATAAGTTAATTTATGAATCATAGTAAAAAATTCATCAATGAATAAACAAAAATACTTTCAAAAGTTTACGTGTTAATTAAATGACATAGGATTTCAACTTAATCATAGGACGAAGATTCCGTAGTCAGAATCATTATCGTTAACAAATTCTGTACCAGATTCCGATTCAGATTAATTTTCTTCGGTTTCGTCAGCTACATACATCTCTTTACAAACTCGTTGTGAAGTAGAGATTCGCTTTTTGTCTTTTCATGACTTTCATTGTCACTTTCATCATCAAATTTATTGCGCATGATGAAAGACACAATGAAAAAAAAAAATACCACTACTTTATCACTTGCGGGCTATGTATTAAAATTATAATAAAATATAATTATTTTGTATTTTGAAGTTTTGTGATTGTTTATTATTTGATTTCTCAATTTCTCAATTAACAATGATGAACGTTTTCTATAAATGTTAATGTTTCATGAATGGCGAAACATGCAACATGCATAATACCGGTATTATGGTATTACGCTAAGCGGCTAAGCTAAGCCGCTAAGATGTATGTTGCACAACGTAAAATCTAAGATATTATTTTACGCGCTTTATATAGTACACGTCTAATTTTGATTTTTAACTTAAGAAAGAATTACCATAAGTTCTTTTAGCTCTACATACTTTGGTTACGATACTAAGTTCTATGACCTAAGTCTAACTTTGGTAAAATACACTAATCAGTTCAACTTTCTAGCTCTCGTATCCTACTTTACGAAATTATAAAGTCATTACCGGACTGAATCGAAATGTTCTTTCTGTCTGTAAATTCTGTATGATTTTGGTCTTGCTTGGATAGCTCAGGGCGCCCAAACTTTGTTGTTTGTAAATACCATATCTTCTATACCATGCTCCACCTTCTGAATTCTGATTCCTTGGTGTTAACTGAAATTCACGATATGGTTTCCAATTTGATAAAGCAAAAAAGAAAGGTAAGCATCTTTAAATTTTGGTGTGCGGTTGATAATATATTTTATTAGTTACAGGCTGTCGCTTGAAGCTTTAGGTTTCCGGTTATGGGTAGTAGCTATATAGAATATATTTTTAAGCGTTAAGGGTTCAACAGTTCCTAGCACCAATTCCTCTCCCTTTTTACGTCCTATTTAATACATACATGCATATTTTTTTTCTTCTTTTTTTTTTTTATATTTCTTTTTATATTTCCTTCTATTCAAGTCGTATTTTCATTTTCCCCACTTATTATGTTTACTGAGTATATTTCCCATATACTCACCCTTTCTCTCTTTCTCTCTTTCTTCTTTTTCAGAATAAAACGCGAAAAAATCCAAATCTCCTTCTTTTTCTCTTGTACCAACACTATCACCAGCAATACCAACACCAACACTAGCAACAGCAACACCAACACCAGCTTCACCAATAACAACAACTACAGCAATAGTAACAACTACATCATCATTAAGATCAAGGAAAAGGAAAATGGATAACATAATCTTCTTTCTCCGTAAATAAAAAATATAATGCATTAACATTTCCTTCCAAAAATTTTAATAGTCAAGGAAACGCTGCAAGATGAGGAGTTTGATCATGAAACCTGATATAATATATAAAAATAATATCAAAAGAGACAAACGTTATATATGGAGCGAAAATTAAGATGAAGACTAAAGATTAGATTGAGGAGGACAGAGGTGAACCTGATCTTATTATCCTACTGTACATCATAAAGTAGACGCGTAGAGACGAAATACAAGATACTTCTAAATCAACTACGTGTGGGTCACCTTGTTTGTAAAGAAATTTAAAAACCGGAAATCTTCCTTAAATAACATGTAAGTGTTCGGTTTTGTTACACAATAATTTGATTATTTATTTTCTAGCTAATTTTAACTTCAGCATCAGTTCTAAACATAGCTCCAGAGGACTTACCTACCCATCAGATAACAGCAGTAGGAATTGCATCAGCATCAAATACTGCTGTTATCAGCGAACTTGGTGTACAAGTTGAATGTACAATTTCTGATTATTTATCAAAAGAGAAGGCAGTTGAACTATATTGATCCGCAAATTGGTGAAAAATGTATTTATTACGAATTTAAAATGTATTTAATCATTTATTGTGCGGTATTTATTTATCAATTAAGGATTTGTATTTACCAATTAATGATTTGTATTTACTTTAAATATACATATATTTTTTTAATTTAATGCAAATTTAACGAATTTAAATTTAATATAAATTTAACACGTTATTTAAGAACCCAAAAGTCTCTTATAGTAAGGTGAATGTTGAAGAAGAGTATCCTGTTAAATTCAGAAAACCTTTTCATCCTCGTCCCTAAAAGCGTAGTTTCTATTGTTTCTAATAATAATAAAATTTGGGATAATTTATTTATAGACAATTGGCTTATGGTCCAGTCCAGGACAAATTCGACTTACTGGACTGGACCTAGACAAATATATATTATTTTAATAATTTGTTATAAAAGCTAACAAATACACTATTAAATATTTTTATGTTTCATATAAAATACATAGGGTAATTTTTGAGATTTTCGTGCACCTTTGGTAATCTTGTTGTACCCTCCGAAGTGGTTAAATACATTTGTGCCCGGGTGCAAGTTAGACGTGCATATTTTAAAGGTGTTGGAATGCTAATACTGGATGAAGTAGGCTGGAAGTTATAGCATAATGCATTACTTAAGGATTGGAACTGATCTATTGTTAATTTAATATCATCATAAAGTATAGTATAATGAGATGGACGTGCTGTTCCTTGATTTGCATAGTGTGACTGGAGATAAAAGTCGTTAAGTGTGGGGTGAGTAATTTTTTTGTCAACAACCGTTCCAACAAGACAGTTTCCATTTCTGTCGGCTTCATTTTTATTTTGGGGATTTATTGGGAAAATTCTCGTATGATGACGTTTACCGACGACTGCAAAAATGATCTTTGGCTCGTAAGGCTTGTTACCTTGCCGGAACTCAGCGCATGCTTCCTTAATCTTGGGAAGTTCAAACCGGAGCAATCTCTCAAACTGGGATTCGCCAACACCATTACGGTACATAATAATGCACGGTGGAAGAAGCAGTGTTTCACCTTTCTTGATGTTTCTTTTTTTCCTCTGATGGTCGCAATATTCCTTCAAGATTTCTATTATCATTTTATCAATTTTAAGGATCTCTTCCTTGCCAGAGCGCTCTTGATCCTGATATTTTGTAACAAAACGACCAGCTTGATTGTCAAGTGAGCCAGCAACAGCGCAGATGGAACTACCATATTTATCCTTAGGATGGGTTGTACTAGCACCAAGAAAGAGCACTTCTTCTCCATTAGGAAGACGGAGTTTATCTTCTGGTAGAGTAGAATTTACACCACCAAGTTTAATGTTCATTTTCATAGCAAGGTTGGCACAATATTGTGGGTTACAGAAGTTTCTCTTGGAATCTAAGCTTACACATTGCGAAAGACATCCTATATAAGTGTCCATAACGCGTTTGATTATTTCGTAAAGTTCGGTATTTATTGGCGACTTTTCGCCGGGAATAATGAAGAGTATCATTTGCGGCGGTTTGTTAAGTCTTTTTTCTGCATCTATATAAGCTTGCTTTACACTATCAGGTCCCCTATATTGTAGGTAATGAATAGCCGGCATATTTTCTGTTACTTTTGCTATTTTCATCCCTTGTAATTCGCATTGCCTTGCGAGACTTTTGATAAAATTAATAGCTTCTGATTTAGGCATCCAATTACTTTGTTCAAAAATAACTACATGCCAAAATTCGAGGCGTTCACCGCTCTCGATAAACTTGACATCTTTGAGATTCCATTGACCATTTACGGGTTTCATAGTGTATCCCGCATATTTAATGCCTGTAGACTCAATTATACGTGCATCAACTTTGGTCAGGTTGGGCATAACTTCCATACCAATATTTGTAGGATCATTCTGTAGCTGCAGTATTTCTTGTGCACCCTTGATCGTTTCTTTTTCATTCACGTAGGGTCTCATCTTGGCAGCCAAAATAATTTCTCCTCGTTGTCTTCCTGTCAAATTCTTGTTGATATAACGTTGCCCTTCAATAATTTTACAAAATTCAATCGGCCATGCAATTTGTGTGTCATCGTCACTCAATATTTGAACAAAGAGCTTTGTTGGCTTCCGGGATTGATCCTTGTTCTTTAAGTATTCTTCAATCTGGTTCTTGAAGTATTCCTCAAGTGGAAATGTTTCACTCGAATCTGTCCTTGGTTTATATTTGAAAGAAGCTACTTGTTTAGTATTTAGAAGCTTTCTAATACGTCTTTCAGTTTGAACAGGTTTCCCATTTGCAGTTTGCACATGTTGAGGGCGAACAAGCAAGCCCCTGAGTACATCGTTAATCTTCTTCAGTACCGGGAAATTGAAATAACTAGGAAGGTTTCGAAACTTTGGATAAAGATATTGGAGAAGAAAATCATCCAGATTTAATGGTTGATAAAAAGTGGTGATTGTAGGATTTACATTAATGAACAAGCTTCCTTGACCTGGTCTTACAGTTGAAAACCATCCAGTCCAAAATTCGACACCACCATTAATTATTTTTTTGTTTCCTTTGTCATATATTGAACTTTTTCCGGATTGAATGTAACTTTCACTTTCTGTCCCTACTTTATGGATTAGAGCGTTGAGAACGTTAAAAGCTTCGTCGCTGAAGAAGTCCCATTCAAACTCTTCTCCGTTAATGTATTTCTCCAGTTGAGTTAACTCGATGACGGTGTCTAAGCGGTTAATTTTTACCTTGTATCGAGTAGAATCTCCATCATCAAGGTTTTGTATATCTTTAATCTTAATTTCTACTTCCTTAACGGTTGGATTTGAAACGTCCAATTCATCAAATCCCAGATAATCCGTTGTGTAGAGAGCGGAACCACCATCATATGCGATAACTACGCCTTGAAACCAATCCTCATTTTTGAAACAAAATTCTTTAAGAACTCTGCGTCGAATATTCTTTCCATAGTCTGATATTTCACGCTTGATGTCATTTTCAATGACCTTATCAATAGGATTGATCTCAATGTTGTACTTGAGAAATTTATCGTATTTGGAGATTGTTGTCACCTCGAAGCTATTGGCCTTCACTTTAATAGGTCGTCCTTCTTTTCCAAATCCTTCCCGTTTAAGGATAGGAACAGGAGGATCGTCGAATTGCGGCATATCCTCCAGCGTAGAGTATGATCTTCTAATTTTTGGTTGTGTTACTTCTTTTTCTAATTTCTTGTTCAAATTTTCTTTTGTTAAAATATACCCGATTAAACCTAAAGAATAATCACGTTCTCTACCATCAATTTTTAAACTTTTATTCTTTGTAGATAGAGTAGATAGAATACAAATATGTAAATCTATTTCAATATTTGTTAAAGGGTTAGATTTACTATGATATATATGAACATTAATAGATTCATTATCCCATCCTACTAATTTAATAATATTAACAGGTTCATAATTGGTTGAAGAATAATATGCATGAACGGAAATAGTGTACCCTTGAGATAATGGAAAAGATGTTTTTATGTAATAGTTTGACTTATCAGGTTGTATTGTAATAGATTCTTTGACACAATCAACTTGAAGTTCTTGATTATTTAGACTAAGTACCGGAAATTTTGAGGGATTTCCAACAATCATCCATAAAATATAACATCTTGTTATATCAATACTTGTTTCTTTCAATGTTTTGATTATTGCATAAAATCTATTAAAATTATATAATCCAAAATTAACACAAATCTCTTCTAATTTTATATTATCTTCTGAAATTATTGATCCAAATACTTCATAATCTTCACTTTCCAATACTGATTCTGAATTTAAATTTATACGTTTATAATGCACAATATTATTACTATCTAAATCTTTCAAATCAGTAATACCCGTCATTATGATTTTAAAATCATTTTTTAATATATCATCAATTTTTCTTTGTTGTTCAACTTTTAGAATTTTATATAATGGAATTATATTATCAAATTCAATAATTTCAAAATTATTATTCGTATTTTGAATCCAATTGGACAAATCATTCTTTTCCATATTTTTCCCTTCTCGCGTTAAAGAAGTAGTATTAGATAATATATTTTTAAGAGACCTTCCCAAAACAATTCTTTGTGGAAATAAATGACCATATTCATTAAAAATATCTTGTAAAGCTTTTAAAGGATTTATACTATTAAGAGAATTTTCTATTAATTGTTCAAATTCTTTTGTGGGTTTTATATGATCCTCATTTAATAGAATTTCATATCGTTCATATTTAAATAAATTATAAATATGATCATTATAATTTTTAATATCACTATTATTAATGAATGGAAAATTATTTAAATTTTTAATCGAAAAAATTTTGTTAGAGATTAAAATAACTTCCAAATTTGTTGATGGTTTAATCATTTTTGAATAAGCATTATCACTTAATTTGACTATAGGAATTTCATTAAAATTAATGGCAATTTTCTTACTAATTTTTGTTTCATAATCTTGATTAATTATTAATCCTTTAAAGAGATCAAAATTATTGGTCCATTTCACTATATTATCATATATCGCATCTCCAACCCAATCTTCTAAACTTAATTTTTCATTAAAATTCACAATTCCAGGTTGTTTTTCGTTGAGGTCCTCTATTGATGATAACTTATTTTGTCTTAATTGAGAAATGGGAATAAGGTCATAAGAAATTATATCAATCATTTTATTTTGATATAAATTATTCATCCATTCAATCAATTTTTCATGAGTATTTAACTCTTCTCCATCCAATGTTACTATTTTTGGTAAAAGATTCAAGTCGAATAAATTATTATATTGAATTTTCGTAGAATATTTTGATGAATTATACGCACAGGATAAATAAAATTTTAAAATATCACTTTGTGTTCGAGTAGTTGAACTAAATTCTTTGATAAATAATTTACCACCAACTAAAATTTTCCTTGCAACGAAATGATCAGATGTAAATGACTCGTTATCATCAAAAAAATTTTCCATCAAGTCACCTTTATAAGTAATTTCAGCAATTGGAAAATTAATACATGTATCAACTGGTCGTAAATCATTCATGTTAATATTAATATATACGATAGGTTTTTCTTCGTATAAATTTATATTTAATTCTCCATCTTCAATAAAAATCTCCTTCATACTTGGTCTTATATTATCTTCAGTTAAAATTAATTCATAATTCAATTTAAATTTTTTAATAATTTGTTGTTTTGTTAATAAATCATCAAATATTTTAAATCGTAAATTCAATTGAGATAATATTTCATGAACTTCATTAATTTCAGGTCTTATTCCTGGATTATTATGCCAACATTTTTGATAAAGCTCCAGATATTCCAAAGGTGTATCCTCAGTTGGGTCCTCTCTTTTTCCATTTACAATTCCAATAACTATTTGAGCTAAATTAAATACCCCTGATCCATGATAAAAAAAGGGAGGATGTCCACTTGATAATTCCCATAAAAGAACACCCAGACTATAAATATCAGATCTCATATCTAACTCATAACTTGGATTATGAACATGTTGTGGTTCAACATAAACAATATTATCAGATACTGATGATGTAGCATCTACTGCTAATAATCCAAAATCCGTAATCATTAATTTACCATTTTTAATTAATATAGAATATGCGTGCTTGAAGATAGTACAATAATTAATATTAGATAAGAATGTAATAAAGACGATAAAAGAAAAAAAAATTTCTTTTTTTTTTCTTACCAAATTTCCATGAATTATCAGTTCAGAATGTAAAACCATTAATCCTTGAGTAATATCCAATGCCATTTGAATTTTATCATTCCATTGTAGTGTATTAAAATTATTTTCCAAGTAATCTCTTAAATTTCCTTCGTTAACATATTCCCATACTAAAAAATAATTGTTATTTGAATCTATAAAACAAATATAAATATAATTTAATATATTAACGATATTATCAGGAAATATTAAAAAGTGCTATTATTTGAATTTCTAACACGTTCAATAACTGAAAATTTTGTTAATAATAAAATTTATAAACCTTTCGTTAACCCAAAAAAACGGTTGATATTTGAATGATTAATATTATGAAAAGCTTTTAACTAATATATAATTAAATTAGAATGTATTATATTAATAATTTTTAAAAGTTTTAATTGTAATTTTTTTTTATAACAAATATTAATAACAAATATTATTATTATTATTATTATTATTATACCTTTTTACCTTTGTAATAAATTCTTTAAAATCATTTTCAGTAATTTTTACATTATTCAAATTTTTTATTGCTACAGTAATTTTTGGATTATTCAAATTTGCTTTTTTAAAAGTTCTATTTGTTCCTTCTTCAATTTCTTTTAATTCATTATAAACAAAATAATCGTTATCATTTATCCATTCTTTTAAAAATTTCATAGTTTATTTTCGAATTTTTTTTACATTAGGACGTTAGGGTCGTTAGGTTGTACGAATTACGAGAGTTTTATGATTTACTCTTAAACACGTGAAATTCGCGTGATAATAGTATATTTTAAGCAAAACCCATCTTGTATTTTCATCCAATTAAATTTCAATGTGAATTCTCTGCGAGAGTTTTTTATTAAAACCACAAACGACACGCCACTATTATAAATAAATTATATTGTTTAATCAAACGAAGAATTTATTGAAACAGTACGTGAAACTGAATTATAAAAGTATTATTTTTTTTGTAATAACTAATAAGTAAAAAAAAAAAGTCAAAAATAAATGACAATAAAGAAAGTGGGACAAAAGAATAAATTAAATGCAGTACAATAATTTTTATTATTTATATATTAATCTAATTCATAATTTAATCACGACTTTCTTGATTCTTGATTTCCGATTCATGAATCTTACCGTGAGACTAATACTTTTATATTACTTGCTACCTGAACAATTGCACTTGCAACAATTGGAACTATAATGAGCTATGGTATTATAGCATCCTTTTGAATAACAATATTCGCCATCTGAAATAATAAAAATTATAACATTGAGATTTCAGGAAAGTGAAATTTCCCTAATAATTAATAATTACGTACCCTTACTACCAGTACAATTGCAATGACTTCTGCACTTATAATAATTGGAAATATAATGAGCTATGGTATTATAGCATCTTTCTGAATAACAATAGTTGCCATCTGAAATAATAAAAATTACAACATTGAGATTTCAGGAAAGTGAAATTTCCCTAATATTTAATAATTACGTACCCTTACTACCAGTACAATTGCAATGACTTCTACATTTATAACAATTGGAACTATAATGAGATATGGTATTATAGCATCCTTTTGAATAACAATAGTTGCCATCTGAATAATAAAAATCATAACATTGAGATCATTGAGATTTCAGGAAAGTGAAATTTCCCTAATATTTAATAATTACGTACCCTTACTACCAGTACAATTGCAATGACTTCTGCACTTATAATAATTGAAAATATAATGAGCTATGGTATTATAGCATCTTTCTGAATAACATTATTCGCCATCTGAAATAATAAAAATTATAACATTGAGATTTCAGGAAAGTGAAATTTCCATAATTACGTACCTTAACCGGAACAATTGCAATGAGATTTGCACTTATAACATTTAGAACTACAATGAGCTATAGTATTATAACATCCATTTGAATAACAATAGTTGCCACCTAATTAATAGAGAAACGAATGAGCATAACAGCTAGCGATTTATATCTCAGTATCAGAACTTATTCATATTTAAAATATTGTTAAAAGATAAATAAAAAAATTCCACGTCCTAACTCTTTCTTTTTTTTATTTAATATATTCATTCAGTGAGTATAAAGGAACAAGATGATGAGTCACGCACATTAATTTAAAGCGATATTCAAATGAATTAATTTATTTAGAACAGAGATTAGATTATCTAAAAAGTTTAGATTATAGTACATCGAGGTCATAATAGAAACTGGCAATATAAACTACAAGTCATTTCCATAATTTTTATAAATCAGTTTTTGTAAAGGTTGTTTATTAAATCTAACACGGTCAAACATTCCTTATGAGCCTTCTCATTTGTGAAGCCTGAATATTCATAACATTTTACATTTTCTTACTAACCAATTATAATTGTAGAATCATTATTAAATGTTTATATATAATTGCATTTAAATTTCCTGAAAAGATTTTTTCATTTGATACAGTACATGGAATCAGAAGTTTCCGATAGAAGTTTTATAAACAAAAAAAGAAAATGATTTGGATCGACAATAAAAGCCTAACCATGATAAGCGTATTAGGTAAGATAATGATTGCAGAATAATACAACATACCTGAAATAACTTGTATGCAATCAGGTCATCGACACCAAACTACAACATCCACATATCAGCAATATCTCCCTCCGACCCCGCCACATAGCATAGTCGTCTTCAAATCCTAACGTCAAAAACAATTAAATAGTTTTAACATCCTTATCACTTCATACCTAACAGTATTTACGTATATACCATTAGTGAAAGAAAAATACGGGTCATTTCAATTTTGACTTGATTGATAATTACGATATATTAAATATGTAATAAATTCTTATTTATATAAAGTAAATATTAACTTTATTAAAATTTATCCAAAAAATTGAAATCTTTATAAGTAACATTTATATCTTCATTTTGATGAAACGTTATTTTAATTTCGGAAGGACCTTGGCTGGTATTCTGATGTAGTTGTCTTCTCTGTCGTCTTTCTTGTGAATGCCAAAAATTCTTTACTTTATTTTCGGTTCGTAATTTGCCAAATTTATCTTTCATCTCCAGAATTAATTTTTTCCAAGGGATTTTATCAGCAGATGGATTTTGAATTTTATATTTTTTAACCCATTCGATCATGTATAATTTCTCAATCTCATCAAAAGGATCGCGACACACTAGAAAAATCATTTTTAAATCAAATTATAATAAATTAAGAAAAATTTTAAAAGATAAAATGTACTTACGACGTGGATCGAGATTATTTGTCCAACTAAAATTATAAATAAATAATAATAAATTTTTTTAAAGAAAAAAAAATTTTTTAAAATTAATTATGATAAAAATGAAATAATAATACCGTTGACGAATCCTTTTTGGGGTAATTCGTTTATTCATTTTTTCACTAACTAAAGTATTGCAATTGGGAAGATGTCCAAATACTTTCATATATTTTTTAATCTCATCATCATCCTACAAGAAAATTTTTTTTTAAAAAAAGAAAGAAATAATAATTTAAGAAATTTTTTTTCATTTTTTTTTTNTTTTTTTTTTTTTTTTTGAGATTTTTTTTTTTAAAGGAATCACTCCCATTTTATAGACTTTTTGAATAGTAATCGTAGTACACTTTATAATCAGCAATATTACGTAGTATTATATAATTATATTTCCTTGATAGGGTAAGGAAGAAAAAGAAGGAAACAGATAGAATGTTTTAAATGTACACTATTCTATTTTCTTTTACTATATTATCGAGAGAGTTGTAGAAAACCGGTTTACGTTTGTTTCAAGTTTCCTGACTTTGACAGATTTGACGCCAAGATATTATTTTTAGTAAATAATGAAAGAAAATTATGCGTGCCCATTTGGCGTAGTTTGATAAGAAATTTTTCTAAAGAAGTTTCTAGAAATTATATATGGTAATAGATAGAAAAAAAGAAACTTAAAGAACCTGAATAAGTTATTCATAGTATTTTATATGTTCTTTCTTCAATGTGATTTTTTTATATTGTATGTAGAATTATTAAATGTTTATTACAAAGTTGCATTTAAGTTTCCTGAAAAGATATCATTTTGGAATAGAATCTCCGATAGAAAGTTTTTATAAACAAAAAAAGGGAATGATTTTGATCGACATGTGTGACTCATGAATGTATTTCAAGAACAAAAGCAAGTAATCGTTATTTTGTAATTGTTCAGTACAGTACAGTATATGCATAAACAATTTAACAGATAAGGGCGGAGCACTTTGAATATCTTAGTATGTTAAAGCATTAGGACTTTGTGAAATTGTATTATATGAGATAATCATTGCAGGATAATCATATGCCTGAAATAAATATTCAAGTGTGGCATCCAATAAAAAGTTTTATCTCATCTATCACCCTGCTGATGGTGTTTCGGAATTGTTTATATTAATTTAATAAATATTTACTTGTGAAAAAAGATGAAATTCACAAAATAATAAATGCATAATAAATATTAGTCATTATTTACTTTACTACGGTGAAAGATTTTAAAAGAAGGTTTGTTCTCTTAAATAGATAAAAGATGATGAAATTTTACAGTAAGAACTCGATATAACGAACCTTCCATTCAGGTGATTTACTTTACAGAGTTAACGTTAACGCTATCACGTGCAAGTGCATAACCTAAACTCTGGTAGGATGTACATACCCCACTGTTCGTTAAGGACGTCCACCTGGGTATACTGTATAATTATGCATTAATGCATTAACATAAAAATGGATATAAAGCGGTCCCTATAAAAAAAGAATGTCCGGAAATTTTCATTAGAAAATGTCCGGGTGTCCGGAAAATGTCTAGAAAAATGCAATATTCCGGACGCCGATACATTGTGAACTCCGGAAAATGTCCAAAAAATGTCTAGGAGGGCTCGAGCCTGGCGTCCTAAAAGTGTCCGGAATATCGACGACAATTTCCGGACATTCCTTTTTTATGGGGGGCTGCGCTGGATAATGCCGGAAAAGACTAAGTTAATTCCGGCTGGAATTAGAATGGTATTTTTATCAATTATCACGAATAAATAAATATAACTAGTTTATGATAAACGAACTTCGTTAGCGAAATTTATAATAAAATCGGTATATAGTGATAAAGTTAATTATAAACGGTTTTGGTTTGCTATGGGTATTGACGTCCTTGGAAACTTTCAATAACTTTTTATGGAATTTAGACTCCTCCATTTCCTTCCAATTCCAATTCTTCCAATATTCCAATGATTTTTAATCCATATTAAATTATATATCCATATATATTTTTTTTATGTTCTTAGAAGCTTCCAATAAAAATTTATTGGAATTGGAATAAGCATTGGAATTAGAAGTTGGAAAGTTCCAAAATGCTTCCAACCTTCCAGTGAACATCACTTGCTATATCGAGTTATGACTGTATACATCATTGAAAATACATATCTGATTCAAATTTACCATCAGATAAAATTTTTTTTAATAATAAAAAATACTTTACTCATGAAAAAAGAATGTTTATTGATAATATTACATTATCAATTTGATGTGCGATTTGAATTACTTCCAAATGAATTAGAGTCCTTTTTTATAAATTGGACAAAAACGCATACTATGAAAACCACTTTTTCTTGTGATCCTTTGATAGTGAATTTTGAAAAGAAGATTAGGTAAAAACGATAAAAATATGAATATTTAAATTATTCTTATTTACTAATTACAGACGGATTCCCGAGTGGCTTAAATTATAAGGCTTTGCAGAAAATAAATAAGATTTTTGTTTTATAAAGTTATGGCTTTGCGAATTTATTTTTTATAACCGAGAAAAAAAATGAAATCCGAAACCCCGAAAAAAGTATTACCGTTTTTAAGGCTTTTTTTCTTTGAATGAGCGATTGTTAATTCGATGACTTTCTTATTTTAAGATTAATTTGATTTGATTAATTCGAATCAAAATATTTTTTTTTTTTTTTTTGGCTTAGATCAAGGAAAAAAAAACCAAAAAAAAAAGATCGAATTGCAAAGATCGACTTTTGCAAAAAAAAAAGCTTGAATTTCTGTGGCTAATTAAGAAGAATTTTTTATTATATAATTAGGGCTTATTATTACGCAATTCATTCATTTTTTTTTTAAAAAAAATATGATTGTTTTTAAATTTCATAATATAATAAAATATATTTTAAATTTCGGCGTTTTAAAAATAAAACACGGGGCGCATTTAAAGGAAAGTTCGAATTTGTTATAATAAAAAAGGATAGCGTTTGATTAATTGCTTTCAAATTTGATGATAAATTTAATTTAAATAATAAATTTTCTTTTCCACTAAAACTTCACAATATATATATATTAGTAATCGGGAATGAATTAATTTGAACACATAGCGAACTCATTTAAAAAAAAATTTCAATCTGTATAAAAAGAAATTATAAATAGCATTTATCAAATTGTTTCTCAATTCTGTTCAATTCTCAGCCCTATAAAAAATTATATCCGTTATTTCTGTAAAAAAACTACGTAAAAATGAGCCTTTCACGGATCCATTCACGGAAATGTAAATAATTTGATAAATTCCGGGATATAAGGCTATTAATTCCGGAAATATGAGCCTTTTACGGAAAAAAAAGACGGAATATAAAAAACGGATCGACTTTTTTTTACAGGGCAGAATTGTTTCAAAAAAAAATAATTTTTTTTAACAACAAAAATGAGAATAACTTCGATAATAGTATTATTCTCGTTATACTCAACAATAATAAATGCAGCTCCTACCGCGGTACCCACACTCGAAAAGCGTCAAGAAACTGAACAAGATCCAGGCTTTAATACTAATATTTTCGATTCTTTCAAACCACTAGAAGTTACTGCATCACCTATAACAAGAGAATATACTCTAAAATTAGCTAAAGCAGAATTAGCTCCAGATGGATTCTCGAGAATCGTTTTGATTTCAAATGGTCGATATCCCGGTCCCATGATACGTGCTAATAAAGGAGATCAAATAGTTATTCATGTAAAAAATAACTTGAATGATTTTACTACAATTCATTGGCACGGTATATTTCAAAAAGGCACTACATTTTACGATGGTGTTGCTGGACTGGTGAGCTCGAGTTTTAGTTATAACTCCATAAAAGAATTTTGTCAAATATAATCATGCCGTTCGTTAATAATAATAAATGATACATGGCATAAGACACAATGTCTTATTCCAACTGGTACAACGTTCACTTATAATTTCACAGGAGGTGAACAATATGGGACTTATTGGTGGTAAGCACATAATTTACAATATTTTTTTCTTTTAGCCGTATTATGATTTTTCTTTACGAGTTTTCTATTATAGGCACTCCAATTTCGGATCCCAATATGTGGACGGGCTTGCAGGTCCATTAATGCATGTTATAGTATATACGTCATTGCTTGTGTATGTGCAATTGTGTATACGCACGTAATTGTATAGTTAAATGTTTTAAACATTTTAATAGCATTCATGATCCGAAAGACCCCTACTTAAATGACTACGATGAAGAGTTTGTAATGACTTTATCGGATTGGCACCATGTATATTCGGAGAAATTAGTAAAAATAAGAATGACGCCAGGTTATAAAGGATTCAATGTAAATTAATTTATTTTTTCCTAAAAAAAAGATGCTCTCTATATTTTATTGAAATGCGAATTTATAAATGTAATAGCCTGTCCCAAACTCAGGGCTTATTAGTGGTCGTGGAAGATGCGATTGTTCTAAAGCACCTCAAGGTTCCAAATGTGTACCAGATAACCCATTGGCTGTTTATGTTGTTGAAAAAGGAAAACGCTATCGTTTCCGTATTATCAATATAGGGTAAATTCTATTCGAATTCAATTAAAATTTTATCTCATAGTTTACCATATTAAAAAGTGGTTTAAAAATTACTTTAAAAATAATTAGCGCGGAAGCACCTTTTACTTTCTCGATTGATCAACATCCACTAAGAATAATTGAAGTAGAAGGTGAAAATGTCAAGCCCGTAACTTTAAACAAGATAAATATAGCCGTTGGCCAACGCTATTCTGTTATAGTTAATGCCGATAAAGAAGTTAATAATTTCTGGATTCGAGCTACAATCGTCAAACAATGCATACACGTTTCACCAGAAACCATTAATGTAAATTCATCATTAAATTATATGGTAACTGGTACATTAAGATATAACGGAGCTCCTGATGCTTACCCAACTACACAAGAATGGGAAGAAAAAGTTCTTAATTGTAGAGATGTAGATCACAATCTATTAAAATTAAATCCACCCAGACCTCCACCAGCTAATCCAACAGATAATTTCACTTTTCGAATTACATTTGATGATTTTGATAGTGTTGGTCACGCTCTGGTAAATGGTTTTCCTTTCAAGCCGGAATTAGAAGATCCCACCGTAAATAAAATGATGTATGATACAACTCCTAGCATGTTAAAACAGAATCAAAATGCTTTCGTTTATGACACTCAAAACGGTGTTGTTGAAATTTCTATAATCAGTAAGTTTGAATCTATTCCTTTCTTTTTTTTTTAATATTTACTAAAATGATTAATTTTTCAGACGAAAATATGGCGACACATCCTTTCCATTTTGTAACGTATATCATTACTATTATCAATCACTCATCACCAATATTATGATATCATACTAAAAAAAAATAAAAAAAAAAAAATAATGATATCATACTAAATTTTTTCTTTTCTTTTTTTGTTACAAGCACGGACATAATTTCTTCATTATGGGTCAAGGTCCTGGTAAAACACCTGATCCAACACAATTTAATTTGGTAGACCCTGCTGTTCGTGATACTGTAACGGTTGCTGGTTATTCGTAAGTATCTTGAAAATGAAAAGGTATAATACCTATAATTCACATACTTAATTCATTTTTCTATTTTTTTTAGATGGACTGTAATTAGATATTTTATTGATAATCCTGGTATATGGGCTTTCTATAGTCATATTGAGGTAAATTTATACATATTATATACTTTTAAAAATTTTTTTTAAAAATCTTTTACATCCACACTAAAAGGTATTTTCTTCAAATACAGTGGCTCATTGAAATGGGAATGGTAGGACAACTTATAGAAAGGCCCAGTGAATTAAAAAATAACCCGATACCGCCAAAAGTAAAGGGTATATGTCCTCTAGATAATGATGATGATGATGGTGATAATAACAATAATACCGCTAAGAAAAGATCATTAAAAGTATATAAAAAATATTACAAACGCTCTGATATTCCTAATATTTCCCGTCATGTCAGATATAAATTTATGCGTGGAAGTGCATATTAGAGGTGACGTGTAAAATAAAGATTTTGGATTGAATTTGAAGAAGAAAACAGAGATGATGATTATTTTGCGGAAATTTATTATAATGTTTACGTTCGGGAATTTAATTTTTTAATTTATTTATTTTATTATATGAATGTTGCTAATTTGCACTCGGGGTGAAATCACCTAAGGGTGATTTCACCCAGGTCACGATTAATTTATTAAATTTATTAAATTTGATTAGTGTAAATTTAATATTTCTCACTTCATAATTTGGCATATAAATCCCCTGTAAATTTTTTAAAAATACCTGTCTCTTATACACATCTAGATGTGTATAAGAGACAGTATAAATCCCCTGTAAATTTTTTAAAATTTTTTGATTGGCTAAATTTTTCTAAATACTGTATAATAAACGTGCTTAAAATACTTTCGCACTAAAAGTTTATAACAATTTATTAATTTTTAATAGATTACATGATTTATTGATTGAAAAAAACAAACTCATACTATCCAAAATTCTAAATTTTTTGATAGGAATGATAAAAAGAATGAGTCACAACGATAAAGAAAAGAGAATATATGAATGAAAAAAGGAAAAAAGAATGAGGGTAAATGAAAAAAATAGGGAGTGAAAGGGAATGAAAGAAACGAAGGGGGAGTGAAGGAGGAACGAAATGGAGCAAAGGGAGAGTGAAAGAACGAAAGGAACGAAAAAGTTAAAGTGGGAATGAAAAAAAATGAAAAGAATGAAGGGGGACAAAATGGAGCAAAGGGGGAATAAAAAAATGAAAGGAACAAAGGGTAGTGTAAAGAAATGAAAAGGATGAAATGGGAATGGAAAAAAAATGAAAATAACAAAGGATAGTGTAAATGAACGAAAAAGATGAAGTGGGAATGAAATAAAAACGAATGAGAGGTAGTGTAAATGAAATGAAAAAGAAGAAATGGGAACGAAAAAAAAGAAAGGAAAGAAAAAAAACAAAGTGGAAACGAAAAAAAAAAGTGGGAACGAAAAAAAAATGAAAGGACCGAAAAGGAAATAAAAACAACGGAAAAAATGAAGGAAGGGAAGAACAAAAAGAGCAAAAAAATGAAGAAACGAAAAGAGAGCAAAAAATGGAGAAGAGACGAAAATGAGATAAACAGGGGACCAAGTAACAACCAAACCCATAAAATAAAAGAAGAAATAAAGTTAGTAGGGAACGGAGATTATATGTAATAAATAAACGAAAACAAAAAAATAAAAACATACCTTAGTAGTTGCAGAGAAGAACTGCAAGGCTTAAAAAGAACGAAATACAAAATGTAAGAAACGAAATACAAGAACGAAGTAAAAAATAAGAAGAACGGCCATGTAGTGCTGGACATACTTAATTGCAAAATCGAAAGAGCTAAAGGACCTAAAAAAACGAAATAAAGTTAGTAGGAAACAAAATGCAAGAAGCAAAAATGAAAAAAAAGAAAGAAAACGTACCTGAGTGCCGTGCAAAGGAGTGAAAGGACCTAAAGAAAAAAAGATTATCAGAGTACGTTTAAAAAAAAATAAACAAACATAAGCCGGAAATGATCAGCACATTAATTAGCCAATAAAATTTAATAGGGTGCACGTGTACAAATTTAATAATCACCGGGTAAATTATCTGTTATTAAAATTATCAGGTTAAATCACCCTAGGTGAAAATAATTAAAATCACCCCGAGTGTAAATTAGTTATATTCTTTCTACAATTATATAAAAAATAAAAAATCAATCATATGTTGTGCCAAGAAATAAGTCTATATAGTTTATTTATTATTTTTTTATGTGGAAAATATTGAGTATGGCGGTTAAAATACCATCCAACCTGTTGCTTCTCAGCGGTAATATTTCAATAACTAAAATGTGCTACGTATAATCTATAAGCTTTTGTACAATATTGTTATAATATCAATCAGCTAAAAAAATATCGGGTAATAAAGTCTAAAAATAATCTTACTGGATAAATAACGATTATTGATTTAACCATTTATGGACAAAAAAAAAAAATTTTTATTACGAAGTCCAGACATCAAATTTGTTATGACCAAGGGGCGAGGGCACTAAACGCAACTTTGAAATCCTTAATCTAAATGGTTTGTGGTAAAAAATCCAACTGCAGATTACTAACAGCGTATTAAAAGTCATGAGAAGGCGAATCAATGACCAAAAATACATAATTTAAGTATTCCACCATTTAAAGATGATTATTTCAGGGAAAAAAAACCATATGCCTGAGTGTAATGGTAAAAATTAACCATGCACCAATAGCACCATACAAAATACTCGGAACCGGATTATTTTAGGTGTAAATGGATATATCAAACTTTATAATATTTATAAATACATCATTAATTCATCATGCACTCTGATTAACATACTCGAGATAATGCGAGCAATAAATGTATTTTACGAATGTTCTATATTCTTTTATTCACAAGAGAAAATTTTCTGATTTATTTCGAGAATATGTGTTACAAGATGATTAATTTGACTTACAAACTTTACTTAGGATGATTTGACGCAATGATTTTCAAATAATAATATAAAAACGATTTATTCATGAAGTAATCGCACAGTACTTAATAGGGATAGGAATCGATCCTAATTTTGAGATCTCAAGATCGATTTAAAATTCGATTTTCGGTTTCGTGTCACAATTTGGATGATCATGGTTTTTACGGAGAATCGAACTTTTTTTATTCTTTTAATATTTACATCATTGTCACTGGCTAGTAAATTTGACCTTGAAAATGGCCAATTTGGCCTTGAAGTAGCTAATAATCATGAATTTTCATTCAATGGGCCAAATCGACCACTTTCTAAGTCAAATTGACCACTTTTAACCATTAGAAATAGTTTCGCTTAGGCAAAGCCCTTTATGCAGTAACGTTACACAAATTTTGACTACATAGCTAATAGTATTTACTTATAAACGTACCACCTTGTACTCAAAAAAAAGTCGAAAACTTTTTTTCTAGATTACACGAAGTTAATTCCGGCCGAGCTTTAATGCCGGCCGGAATTAAAATTTTATTTAGGCCAAACATCAATGGAAACGATTGACTAGAATGAAAAAATTGTTTAGGCGTCAATTCGATTTTTTCATGCGATTTTCGATTAATTCGACTCGCAGAATCGATTCCAATCCCTAGTACATAATATTAAATGTCTATACATTAATTACATTTATGCCATTTATGACCTTTATTAGAAATAATTTTATAAACCTTAATTGCTTTTTATTTCTTATTGCCTTATCTTAATTATAAAACATAAATTTTTTAAAACAAATCTTAATTATAAAAAAACCTTAAATTTTTAAAAAAAATTAAAAATATAAACAATAAAAAGGTGCTTATTTTGAAAGATTTATCAAAGCTGGGATTTCCATTTTAGGATCTCTTTTAATTTCGGAAGATTCTTGACCATTGTTATATTGAGGGGAATAAGATATATCGTGATTAATTCCGGAAGGATTTCTTCCTTTTTGCCTTTGTTTAGAGTGCCAAAAATTCTTTACTTTATTTTCGGAGCGTAATTTGCCAAATTTATCTTTCATCTCCAGAATTAATGTTTTCCAAGGGATTTTATCAGCAGATGGATTCTGAATTTTATATTTTTTAACCCATTCGATCAAGTATAATTTTTCAGTCTCATCAAAAGAATCGTGACAAACTAGAAAAAAAATTTTAAATCAAAATTATAATAAATTAAGAAAATTTCAAAAGGTAAAATGTACTTACGACGTGGATCGAGAATATTTGTCCAACTAAATTATAAATAAATAATAATAAATTTTAATTTTTTAAAGAGAAAAAATTTTTTAAAATTAATTATGATAAAATTGAAATAATAATACCGTTGACAAATCATTTTTGGGCTAAATTGTTTATTCATTTTTTCACTAACTAAATTATAGCGATTGGGATGATGTTCAAATTCTTTCATATATCTTTCAATTTTAGAATTTTTTATAAGCCTTTTATTAGAATTAGATATCTCTCCATTTAGTTGTAGTTTTCCCTTTTCATTTCTTAAAGTACTCATACTTTTTTCATATCTATCTATAGATTCTTTTATCGCTTCTTGTGCGACAAATTGAATAATGGATTCATATTCGGAAGAGATTGAGAGAAGAGTCAAAGTTTCTGAACTATTCATACGTTCAACGGCGTTTTCCAGGAATTTTACAAATGATATTCCTCGCATAGTAGAAGAACCTATGTATTTTAAAGGAAGCTGAGAGTAAATTGATTTTACTGCGCTCTCTACTTCTATAACAAAATCTTCGTCGAGTTCATCAGTGTTGATTTTTTCCATGTTTTGCAACATTTTTTTTTTGCATCCCGGTTGCTAAAAATTAAGTATTAAATTGTTTAAGGGCAAAGATGATTATTAAGAAATAAATCATTATTTAATTTAAATTTCAATTTCTCACCGATAAACTAAAAAAAAAGTCGAAAATAAAAAAAAAAATTAAGATAAATAATGATAGCATAAAAAAACAAACTAATAATCTTATTTACCCATAAACTTCAAAATCACTAAAGAATTGACGAATAGCCGTAGCAGCTACAATTTGAAAAATAAAATATGTTAATATTTGATTATAATTCATTAATTCAACCAAATTTCTTCAATTATTAGTTCACCATCGGTATTTATATGATTCATTTGTTTCAAAAAATAGTCTTTAAAATTATCCGGAGTTTCAAGATTAAAATCACGCAATAAAATGACAAGTCTTGGTAAAAAATCACCATATTCTGGTTCTTTGATAAAATTACTTAAATCTGCCATTAAATGCAATTTTCCTATGTTTTCTTTACCAACAACTCCATTAATATTATATATAAAAGTTGAAGAAATAACTAAACATAAAATAAATAATTTCGTAGCCCAATTTTCATCCTGTGAAGGATCATCAATCCCTTCGCTATCCAAAACAATGACGCGTTTCTGAGTAATTTTACCGTTAGGTTGTTCACTTGTTATTTTGAAAGGAGGAGACCACATGTAAATTCCGCGTGTACATCCTCCCACTTTCGCTCCTAAGTCAAATCCATCATGACGCCCATGCAATACATTTGCGAACCAAGATTTACCACTGCGAGAAGAACCAACTGAAGTAGAAATAATATTAGTTACTATAATTTTACTAAATTAAGTTGAATTGAATTATGCTGCTTACCGACAGAAATAATAGCAAGAGGTTCGTTAATTTCTCGAATAATATCCAACGCTTTTGGATTAAGAACAATTTGACCGAATTTCTCATTTTCAGATTTTTCACGAAAATTTAATAGTTGAACTGGAGCACCCTCACGAAATACAATTTCTCTTCCAAACCTGTTACCTTTAGCGGGGTTTTGAATATTGCTAGCTTTCAATTGAATACACAATAAACAGATAAATTAATAATTAATTGAGAACGTTCTCACTATGCATTATCGGGATTCATCCTCCCATTTATTGTATAGATAAAAAAATACCTTTTGAAATATCGTTTTGAACATCATCTGTAAAAGATCTACCAAATTTATCAATTCCGTCTGCTAATCTTTCATTCAAATTTTCTTTTGTCAAAATATATCCGATTAAATCTAAAGAATATTCACATTCTCTATCATCAATCTTTAAACTTTTATAATTTGTAGATAGAATACAAATATGTAAATCTACTTCAAAATTTGTTAGAGAATTCTTATATTCGTCAAAATTATCATCTGAAATTATTCTTTGATTTGTAGTAATTTTATTTGATTCGTTACGAGTTATTTGAATATTAATAAACTTATCATTCCACTCGATCAATTTAATTATATTAAAAGATTCATAATTTGATGAAGAGTAGTATGTATGAACGGAAATAGTATATCCAAGAGATAATGGAAAAGGTATTTTTATACAATAATTTGACTTATTAGGTTGTAGTGTAATAGATTCTTTAATGCAATCAACTTGAAATTCTCGGTTATTTGGACTAAGAACTGATAATTTTGAAGGATTGCCAACAATCATCCATAAAACATAACATTTCGTTATATCAAAACTTGTTTTTTTCAATTTTTCTATTATTGCATAGAAACCGCTAAAATCAAATAATCCAAAATTAACACAAATCTGTTCTAATTTTATATTATCTTCTGAAATTATTGATCCAAATACTTCATAATCTTCACTTTCCAATACTGATTCTGAATTTAAATTAATACGCTTGTAATGCACAACATTATTACTATCTAAATCTTTTAAATCAGCAATACCCGTCATTATAATTCCATAATTATTTTTTAATACATTATCTATTTTTCTTTGTTGGTTCACTTCAAGAAGTTTGTAGAGTGGAATAATATTATCAAATTCAATAATTTCCAAATTATTATTATTTATTTTTTGAATCCAATCATATAAATCATTTTTTTCAACAACTTCTCCTTCTCGTGTCAAAAGATATGGAACATTTAAATCATCAAATGTAAGATGTTCTAATTCAATTTCAGAAGTAGTGGTTGGTGAAATATTTTTAAGAGACTTTCCCAAGATAATTCTTTGAGGAAATAAATGACCATATTCGTTGAAAATATCTTGTAAAGCTTTTAATGGCTTCAAACTATTAAGAGCACTTTCTATTAATTTTTCAAATTCTTTTGTGGGTTTAATATGATCTTTGTTAAAAAGAATTTCGTACCGTTCATGTTTAAATAAAATATGAATATAATCTTCATAATGTTTAACATTATTTTTAATGAATGGGAAAGTGCTTAAATCTTTAATCGAGAATATATTATTGGAGATTAAAATAACTTCCAAATTTGTTGATGGCATTATCATTTTCGGGTAAGTTCTATCACTTATTAAATTGACTTCAGGAAACTTATTAAGATTAACAGCAATTTTCTTACTAATTCTTATTTTGTAATCCTCATTAATTATCAATCCTTTAAAAAGATGTAAGTTATCAGCCCAATTCACTAGATTATCATACATCGTATTCCCAATCCATTTTTTTAAACTTAATTTTTCTTCAAAATTTACGACTCCGGGTTGTTTTTCATTAAATGATTCAAGTTCATCTATTAATAATAATTTTTTGAGACTTAATTGAGAAATGGGAATAAGGCTATAAGAGATTATATCAATCTTTTTATTTTGGTATAAATTATTCATCCATTCAATCAATTTTTCATGAGTATTTAATTCTTCTCCATCCAATGTTACTATTTTTGGTAAAAGATTCAAGCCGAATAACTTATTAAATTGAATTTCTGCAGAGTATTTAGATGAATTATATGCACAGAACAAATAAAACTTTAAAACATCAATCTGTGTTTGACTAGCTGAGCTAAATCCTTTAATAAATAATTTACCACCGACCAAAATTTTTTTTGCGAAGAAATGACCAAATGATTCGTCGTTATTATCAAAAGTTTCCAATAAATCACCATTATAAGTAATTTCAGCAATCGGGAAATTAATACATGCATCAGCTGATCGTAAATCGTTCACGTTAATATTAACATATACAATAGGTTGCTCTTCATATAAACTCATATTTAATTCTCCATCTTCAAAAATTTCCTTCATACTTGGTGTTGCATTATCTTCTGTTGAAATTAGTCCATAATTCAACTTAAATTTTTTAATTATTTGTTGTTTTGTTAATAAATCGTTAAATATTTTAAATCTTAAATTCAATTGAGATAAAATTTCATGAACTTCATTAATTTCAGGTCTTATATCTGGACTATTGTGCCAACATTGTTGATAAAGCTTTTGGTATTCCAAAGGTGTACTTTCAATAGGGTCTTCTCTTTTTCCATTTATAATCAACGTTCGAGTTAAGCTGAATTCTCCCTGTCCATAATTAAGGAAGGGGGGGCGCCCACTTGACAATTCCCATAAAAGAACACCTAAGCTATAAACATCAGATCTCATATCTAACTTATAACTTGAATCATGAAGATGACGTGGTTCAACATAAACAATATTTTCAATATTCTCAGATACTAATGACGTAGCTTCTACAGATAATCCAAAATCCGTAATCATTAATCTACCATTTTTAATTAATATAGTATCTGCGTGCTTAACAATAGTACAAAATAAATATTAAATTAATAATCATTAACTAAAAAGGCAAAACGGAAATTTTTTATTTACCAGATTTCCATGAATTATCTGCTCAGAATGTAAAAACATTAATCCACAAGTAATATCCTGCGCCATTTGAATGTTATCATTCCATTTCAGCATATTAAACTTGCTTTTTAAATAATCTCTTAAATTTCCTTCGTTAGCATATTCCAATACTAAAAAATAATTTTCATTTGTATCTATGGTTTTAAAAATGTGTTATTAATAAATTGTAAATAACAGTAAACGTAATAATTTATTAAATTTATGATTACAGACCTCTCGTTAACCCAAGAAAACGAATAATGTTTGGATGATTAATTTTATGAAAAACCTTTAACTTTTGTAATAAAATATAAGTCTTAGTATATTATTTCTTCTAAACAAATATTAAAAAGTAAATTACCTTAGTAATAAATTCCTTAAAATCATTTTCATTGATTTTTGGATTATTCAAATTTTTTATTACAACGGTAATTCTTTGATTTTCTAAATCCGCTTTTTTAAAAGTCCCATTAGCGGTTTCCTTATCAATTTCTTCTAGATTCCTAAATGCGTTATAAGCAAAATAATCGATATTATCATTTATCCTTTCGTCGATCTCACAAATCCACTCTTTTAAAAATTTCATTTTAAAGCAACGAAAAATTTGAATAATTGATAAATAAATTTGCGATTATTATAATTACGTAGGGTTGTACAGAATTGTGATTAACGAATTACAGAATTATGATTGACGCCCACATACATCTAATTGAAACTAATATTATTATGGTGCGTTAGGCGTCATATATTATTACACAATTTTATATATATATGCATTAGTGTAACAATTAGACATTATATAAAGGAATTTTATTATTTTATTAAATAAAAATTATTATTTATTTATTTAATTTATTAAAAAAAAAATGATGTCTTCCGATGTTATGGTATTTATTAAAATTATAGGCGAATCATCATCGCAAAGTTCTAATAAATTTTGTCCTTTAAATTTAAACAATCATTTATCTGATATTCGTAAAGAACTTGAAGATTATAATATTATTAATGATATAATTTCGTTCTCAAAAAAAGAAAATGATGAATTTGCTGAAGTAGTACGCGAAGTTGAAGAAAAATGTCAATTAAAAGAAATAATAGAAATAATTAATAAAGTAAATTCAAAAAGTTATTATTTATATTTAATGAAAAATTCAAGTCTCAGTTGGAATGATTTGAATGAAAAATGTAAATTAGACTATGGACGTACTATGAGTGTTAAGGGAATTGAAAGAGCTAATAAAAGAGCATTCATAATGAAGAATTGTGAATTAATTGAAATTGGAGCCGAAGGATATAAAAAAGATCGACTTAGATTTGAATCAAAAGAGGATTGGATGAAGAAAGAGAATTTATTTATTAATGTTGACGGTATTAATGTGCGGAATTTTGTAGAATTTGGATTATCAATTGGAAGTTCACAAATAAATAATTATAATGAAGAAATCAATTCAACTTACCGATATACAGAAATTGGTAAAGTATCATTAAAGTTTAACAAAGAAAATTTAGAATTAACTAAGGACTTCAAGAATGATGTGATTAATGCAATACAATCTAAAGATCATGAAAAATTTAAAAAAATTACTGAAGAATATGGTCAATTCATTCCAACTGAAGTTGTTTTGGGGGGAAGAGTTTATTTTAAAGATGTTGGAATGTCATCAGATAAAGATAAGATTATAGAAGGTTCTGTAAGTATTGGTTCTTCAAATGCGAAAATAGGAAGTAATTCTAGTGATTCAAAAAAGAAATCAAAATTATATAGTTCTGATTGTATAAGAATTCTTGGAGGTAACCATCCTGATGGTGAAAATTTTGATGAAAAAAATTGGATTGGATCTTTAAAAAATTTTCAAAATTGGGATTGTATAGAATTCAAAAATCCTATTAATATATTTCAATTTTTGTCTTACGATTTACGTAAAGAATTATTTGTATCCATCGGAAAAAAAATATTATATACGAGTACTGAGGATTTTGATTATGATTTATATGAAGCTGGAATGTACCGAATTTTTGAATTAAATGATATACCAACATATATGTCTAGAATTATTCAAAATAAAGATGCTGATTGTGATGTCTTTGCATCTGTAATTAATACTGAAGATTCAAGAAATGTTTTTTTTAATTGCCAGATTCTTCGTGCCGATGGATCAAATGAAAAACCAAGTGTTATGATTCATGGCATCCAAAAGGAATTTCGGAAATGCAAATATAAATTGAAGATTAATATAATTATAATCGGTTATGATATATATTTTCTTTCAAACGATAGTGTAGAATTAATAAAAGAAAAATATAATTCACAAAGCAAACGTGAATTTGATAGTATAACATTACAACATAAATTAATTGAAAGAAATATTCCTTTCTTTGGCATTCCTATATTAGGCAACCTTAATTCTTCAAGTGATTCAAAAAATTCCTTTATAATTGGACATAATTTTCGCAAATTAAATAATGTACTCAAAATTGATACATTTTCTTATTGTACAAAGACAAATTGTTATGTTAATTTACCGAATTTTACTTTTTGTATTCTATTTATTTTAAATAGTCCTACTTTCAATTCTCATAAATTAATTCCCTTTAAATTTAACTGGCGGAAAAAACCATATATTAAATTCGAAGACTCTAATCCAAGATATGTAAGTTTATATTTATCAAAAAAGAATGATTATAATCCAATTTTTTTTAGCCAGAACAAAAAACATATTAAGTTAAAATATGTTGATTGTAATTGTAACAAAACTTGTACTATTTGTAAATCCAAAAATTTAAAAATATCAGACAAAGATAATGCTATATGTATAGTATATTCTTTAAGGTATTCAAATATATCATTATTATTTTTTTTTTTTTCTTTTATTTTTCGTTATAATGATTTTACTAATTAAATAATTTTCTGTTATCAGTAATCGTATTATATTAATGAACTGAAGGATTATTGGCGATCACTAGAAAATTCTTTAAAATAAACCTTATCAAGAATAATCAATTTCTATGATATCATTTTTGTCACCTTTTCTTACTCTCGTTTACAACCACATTTCTCCTATAATATCACTTTTACCATCTCCTTTTTCGATGCCCATTCAATCACATTTTGCTTTCTTTTTTTATTTGTTTTACATTACATCAAACTTATTACATGAAAGTCGGTGTATATTAATTTTCAAGATATTATGTCTTTCTTATCTCCCTTCAACTACACTTTCTTGTTTGTTTGTTTTTAAATAGTAAACATATGCAGCTGAATAATAAGTCATTCATAAGAGAACGCCAAATGGACGATATACCTATTTCCTACATATTCTTTGAAGGGAGAAGAAATTGCGGACGTAATGATACAATGGAAAAAGTAATATTATGCGGGCTATTAAAAGGATAAACCAGACTGCATTCATTGTGTTGATCATATTTATTTCAACATGCTTCGACTTTATGCTATATGTTTAGCATTTTTAATAAAAGTGATATATTAGGATTTGAAAATTATTATTTTTTTTTTTTACATATCACAAATGAACGGAATGCTTTCCTTATAAAGCTTATCGTTATTTATAAAGATTATTTTATGTTCTTAAATTATCGCATCGTAAATTTTTTATAAATTATTCTTGATGAAATAAATCATTAATAATTTTACGCTTTGAAATAGTTAAGATTATTAATCAATACAAGAATTAGAGCCAGCAATGGCTGCAGATGATTTAGTCACATTATGGATTTTTAGGTAGATCGCCATGTAATTCCATATGGATTAGTTAAGAAATATGTGGAATTCTATGTATTCCCATATATCCTACATGATAGAATTATGGATTTACGTCAACAATACCGTGCGTTTTATCACAGAGAGCATAACGGAATTTCCCCCTGATTGGCCACAATTTAAATGTTTTGTAAAGACTGTGATTGGCTAGATCCCAAAATGTGCTTTACGCGTGCTCACGTGTTTTACTTATAAACAGGTTTTATTACTTGTTTTATCTAACTTGTCACGGGACTAATTATTAATCTATTAATCATGGTAACTAAAAAAAATTTTGGACCTTGCTCAGTAGATAATTGTACATATAGAAATGTTAGTTTTCTTTTAATTACAGAACTTGCATACCAGAAATGCCAAAAGGAAAATACATTAGAAACATACCCTTATCTTGAAATAGGAAAACAACTTTGCCATTTACATTATTGCAAAATAGTGGAATCTAATAGAAATAGAAATAAAAAAAGAAGGTTAAAAAGCCAAGAATGCAGTAGGAAGAAAGTCACAAATGAAGAAGAAGGTATCTCAATATAATTGTTACTAGCTGAAAGACTTCTTTTTAAATGGTTAACTTATATCTCTTTAGCTTTGTATAGAGATCCCACTTTCGCATCAAATATCAAAATATTAACAACTGTATTATTCAACAAATAACGTCGAGAATCTGCTGGTTTTGAATTGGATCCAGTACAATTTCAACTTATGATTGAAGATGCTAATCCCGAATTAAAAGGATTCTTTCCTTCAATGGTTAATGCTATTATTCCTAAAGACCGATCAGAATATAATAAACAGGAAGCCAAAAAATCAATTGTTGCTCTATGTTATATAATTGCTGGTTTGCGTAACAAATTCGTTAACCAATTCAAGACAGAAGTTGGATTGTATTTGGTAGCATCAGGTGCTACATGGGAAGCTATTGATACATTATCAAGTATTGGATATTCAGCTTGTGCTAAAACAGTTATGGACTATCAGAAGAAGATTCAATTGAATCACATAACCAAGATTGAAGATCACTTTTTTGAAAAGGTAAACATTATTAAAAAAGTGGTTTATGCTTTATGTATTGTAAAATTGATTTTTTTTATTTGTAATAGGGAGATTGCCTGCATATTTATAACATAGATGATTATCATGACATTCATGAAAAGCGTAGACCAGATACAGTGACAACATCAACGGCAAAGCATTTTTCTACTTGCGTAGCAAAACCTGTTATGGAATGCTTTGCAGTACCAATTGTATTTAATGGAGTATCTGTTCACAATCCAAATAATGTTGAAGCACCAAGAATTTGTTGGTATTTGCTTAACAAATATACTGGAAACTTTGATATCACATATACAGAATGTCAGATATATTGGATTTCACAAGGATATCAAAACGCTAATACTTTTGATCGTATTGAACTTTTAACTATTCATTGTTATGATGATGCTATTGCAGAGCGAAAGGATGAAAGATCAATGAAAGATCTTCAATTAATTGGCTTTAAAGAACAGCATTTACATTCAATGCAGGACTACTTGAATGCTTTACAAATGATTTTAACTATAAGTAGAAAAACAGAATATTTGGATAATTATGTTGCACCTATTGTTGCAGATTGGCCAGGTCAGCTGTTTATCAGAAAAGCATTAACACATCTGCATGCATTAGGATTACAATCTGCTATTCCAAAAGAAATTGAATCTTTTATACCGATGCTAGGTCCACTTCACCTTTCACTCAATAGTAGAGAACATGTTATGATAATTCATCATTCTTTTTTTGAACAAATGTTTCATTTTGTATTTGGCAAAAATAAAAAGCTGGCAAAAAAACCAAAGCCTTGGAGTATTAACCTTCTCTTGGAACTTGCGCGAAGTGGTTGGGTTAAAATTAAAAATGAGGTTATGCAAAAATTTGGTTTAACATGCAAAGATGTTGAATATCTAACTGTAATTGACTTATTAGACAATCTTATTCCAGCTACACTTGATGTATATGCAGTTTTATTTCGCTCAGGTTCATTTGAAGAATATGTGGAAACTGTGTTTCGTATTTGGACATTTGCTTTACGTTGGAAAAGAAAAAATTATAATAAAGCGCCTCTTATATTTTTATCAGATTTATTTTATTGGCAAGATAACCATCACCCATTTGCTGATGCAATTAAAAATTATTTACCATGTTTTAATGACTATTACGTTGAAAACACTCATAGCCTAATAAGAGCAAATACATCTTCAAATGCTACAGCTGAAACCATTATAAAACAGGCTTATGTTATTGGTATAATAAATATAATAATATTAATTTTTCATTACATATTATTTGTTACTTATTCCTAACAATTTAAATAGCGGATCATGATCCTATCTTTAAAGATACATTTCGCAAAACTCGCAATTATTCGTACAATCTATCTACACTTAAATTCCTGTCTGATAAGACCAGTCTCTTCCTACTTAATTACTTCCGTAATATATTTCATAACCAAAATAATAGCACTCCCTTGTACAATAATACAAGAAAAAAAGAAAAAAAATTAAGAGGATACAAACTTGCTACTTTAGGAAAGGAAGTTGACTTGCGTCACCTACCAACAGCATACAGTACTTCCTATTTACCAAAGTCAGGATTATGTGATAATTGTGGGCTACCATTGAACAATAATGGAGTAGTTTTTGCTTGTGGTCATGGTTATCATCCAGTTTGTTACGGTAGAAGATGTGTTTATTGTGAAAATTTTTATAATAAAGGTATTTTTGAAAATGTAAATTCGTTTTTAAAAAGAGTTGAAAAAGGAACAGATACGCTTATACAGGATGATTTAGATGACGAAATTAATGAAGAGGAAGAGGAAGAATCAGAGGAAACAGCAGATGAAGAAATAGATGTATCTGCTACATTAGAAGCAGCAATTAATAATATAAATTACTGGTAATAATAGTAGTAAGAATTAAACTTTTTGTATTATATAATAATAAATAATAAATCATTGACAATTTATAATACCAAACCTATCATATGTCAACTGCCAAGTAAATTATCAAATACGTTCGATATTACTAAATTTTATTGCTTGTGTTTTGTGAAATTGTATGAAACAACTATAATGTCATATGGTATAATAATAAGCAAAAGTCCTGTCTAAGTAAACTTTCGCAAACTAAGAGATTTTAGAGATCTCATTAGTTATTATGTTAGAGTAGTATTTAAAGAATATACTGATAAAATTTCAGAGTATATGGTCACGTCCTTCATGTGTTGCAAATATGACCATTGTAAATCTTATATATATATTATTGTATACGCTGTATAAATAGTTTGTGTAACAATAGATCAAAATGGGACTTCTGTTATGCTATCACAGAGTATTTGGAATTTATTGGAACTATTCAGACTCCCACAATATTTGATGTGGATTTCCATGTGAATTTTAGTGGAAAAATTTCCTGATGCAATTCTGGACGGTGATATTTAAATTGGTTAACGTCACTTCGTGACGTTTAACCAATATAAATACAATAACCAGTAATAAAAATTTGGTTAGAATTATAAATATTTCTGCAATTTGTATCAGTAGAACAACTTTTAGGAACATAACACCGATTAAAGAGGAAGTTAGTTCCAAATAAATGTTCATGATATTTTACTAGATCAACAAATTATTGTAGTATTTTTCTCAGGGCCAAGGTGATCACTTGTGTGGCCTTAGAGCTGTCAGCAGATGAGAAACGTTCAGGAAGGCCTCTGGCAGATCTGGCAAAGCCAGGACACCCCATGACCAGCAAGCCTGATTTACGAACTACCTATGATCCCGCCCGTCCTTTTGAACATGCAAGTAGAGGTTTAGACCCAGACCTGACAGATCTTTTATAGAATGTAAAATAGTGGCTTAGCCATTTAAGCCATTTAATTTTTCAGCGGCTCAGGCAGCTGTTCTAACAAAGAATAAGCAAGTAGGATTGCTAATATTAAGAAGTAGATGAACTTACAAAGAGAGGGAATATTTTTAATTTTGCAAATTAATTAAAATATTATCCGATACAAAAAATAAATTTATTTTATGAAGATGTAAATTCATTTTAGAATTATGTATTATACAAGAGTTTTGTGTAGAATAATTTTAACTTCATTATTCAAGAAAAGTTAGAATTTCATTGTCAATTTCGTCTATTATTAGTTTCTTGTTCAATTTTCTTTGATTAAATAAGCGGACAAGTCTAGAGAACATTCTTTTTATTTAATCATCATAATCAATCATTAAAAATATTTATATACAAGTATTTTTCCTAGAGAATATAAAATTTAAAGAGTTATTATCTTCGTCGAGTATCATTGAAATTAATTTATTAATAGGAAACGGAAACAGTTATGGGTCCGGAGTAGGGATTGGAATCGATTCAATCGAAAATCAAAACCAGAGAATCGATTTAAGAATCGATTAATCGTTTCTCAGTAATAATTATTTTAAACATTTTCGTGATGCAATGCTTTTGATGATCCCGGCAGCACAAAATTTTAGGTGGATTTTAACTAAAATATTAAAATAATCTTTATTGTAAAATTTGAAAATTTTTGATTAAAAGTAAAATGATTTTATTTTTGCACTGAATAAAAACTCTGAAAATTTATTAGCTAAAGTAATTATTATATAAAAAGTTAAAATTTGTTATCATTATAATAAAAAATATATGTATAAATATGTAGTAGACATTTTTGGCCCGCATTATAGAATTATATTTAATTCTGGCCAAATGATACGGGCCCTGAACTCTAAATTATCAATCAATAAAAAAAATTTTTTTTTTAATTTTTTTAATTAATTATACATTAGCCACAATTAACTTGATTGGATAATGTTTGATTAAATTCTCAATTGTCTACTAATTGTTCAATATCCAATTATTATTGGTCAAAAAGCCATCACAATTGTTGAATTTTTTTGATTTTTTTTTTGTTAATTCTGAGATTTTTTTTCATTGTGGCATGGTTATAGAAACAGCAAGATTACATTTGCTGTGCCAAAATATAAAAAAAATCTGATTTATTGTGATTCGATTTTTAGATTCGATTAGTCGATTCTATTAGATACGATCAATTTTCGATTAAATCGATTTTAGTCGAATCCCTATTTTGGAGGCAAAAGTATCATTCTTGATAGATATGAGGTATTATTCTTGATAGATTTTACTGTAAAATATATTATGCATATCAAGATTTTCCTGCATATCTATCAAGAATGATATTTTTGCATTCCGGAGTGACAAAATTTTGTATTGTATGGCAAGCCGTACTGGTCAAAAGGTTGATAACTTTTCATCATGTTTTTATGATGATTTTTCATCATGTTTCATGATAACTTTTCATCATGTTTCATGATGACTTTTCATCATGTTTTATGATAACTTTTCATCATGTTAACATGACGACTTTTCATCATGTTGATCATATTTTTCATCATATTTTATGATGTTTTTCACCATGTGACATGAAATTTTTTCATCATGTGTTGAATAATCTTCATCATGTTTCCTAATATGAAATTAAAAATGTCTTGCCAAACTACTGGTTTTTTGATGTTCAGATTTAGAAAATAAGAAATTTTTTTTTTACAAACTTAGAAATTTACCGATTTTCTGGTATTTTGCCATTACACAAATATATATCACATAAAAAATTTTATCACATCACGTTAACAGTATATGAACAAAAGAAAAATAATTCAATAAAAACAATACATATACATAAATATAGGTTGTAAAATTTTTCGTATGGGAAGAGTTCCATCAGGAAATTTGTTTAGGCGTAATTTAGTGTAATATTTCGAATTTTTTTTTTATTTTCGAAATATTACACTAAATTACGCCTAAACAAATTTCCTGATGTCGTATGGGATATCTTTGATAGAAAATATCTTTTTTGAGATTTTTTGAGTTCGTATGGGAAGAGTTCGTATGGGACTTTTTAATAAAGATTTTCTTTTTGTAGGGTTCGTATGGGATATTTTTAATAAAAATTTTTTTTTTTTGAGATTTTCTAAGATTTATATAAAATATTTTTGATAATTTTTTTTTTGAGAGTTTTTTTTGATAATTCCATCAGTAAATTTCGGAGGGGTCAATATTGTACATTAATGTGCAATAAGTTCAATATTGTTCAATATATTGCACAAAATTTTAAATTGCACAAATTTTATGCAATAATGAGCAAAATTTTTTGCAATTTATTGTAAAATATTGTATATGTCATTTTTGCATAAAATTTGCACAAAATATTGCACATATACACATAAGAGAAATATAGCCAATTAAAACTATTTATAACCACTGC